AGAATTTGATTCTAGGAATGAGACAAGGTTGGAGTAAATTATATGTTCTAACATTTTACAAGGAACACTGGTTAGGGAAATTGGTCTGTAATTGAGAGGAGACTGTGTATTACCAGATTTGTGCAGAGGGACCACCTTCCCCACCTTCCAGTCAAGCGGCAAAGTGGAGGTCTGAATAGATTGCGAAAAGATTAAGGACAAGTAAATTGATGAATACAATGCAGTGTTTTTTAGAAACTTTGAGTTGATTTCATCTACGCCACAAGAAGAGGATAACTTAAGCTTGTGAATTAAATTTTGCACTCCAATGGCATCAACGGTAACAGGATACATGGGCAAAAAATCACGACTAGGCATTTGCGGCAACGCAGAAGCAGAAAACCTTGAAAAAGAAGTAACAAAAAAATCATTTAATGCAATGCAACACTCTTCACAGCGAACTGGCTGCCCATCTGAGTTCGTAAGCGAAATGTTTATCTTTTCCCTAGGTTTAACAGTTTTCCAAAACTTAGAAGGGTTGGTTACAAGAATTGAAGGAAGGGTATCATTAAGAAAAACGCGCTTGGCTTCCTTGATAGCTGCTCTGTATTCAGAAAGGACAGATTTGTACACGTGCCAACGGGCTAACGAATTAGTCTGCTTTGCCTGATGGAACAACCGTTTCTTTTTATTCCGCAATTTTTTTAAGTCAGTTGAGAACCAAGGGGGGCGTTGGCGACCCTTGATAACGTATGTGGGAATGTATCGCGTGATTAAAGATTCAACTTTCATTTTGAACAAGTTCCAGTTTTGTTGAACGCTGCGATCAAAGAAGCCATCAGCAAAGCTCTCAAAATTCGATTCGAGTTCACTCTTGATTGAGTCATAATCGCCGCGTGAATAGTCTCTTATTGTTTTGCAATTGTTTGACCGACGCCTTAAAGAACCTGTTAGATTGAAGTGCACGAAACAATAGTCACTTATGCCTGGGATATATGAAATAGAATGGACAAGGTCAGGTACAGTGGTGAGAATCAGATCAAGAACATTTGATGAATTGGGGCCCATTCTTGTTGGTTGCGTTACGAGTTGGGTAAGGTTAAAGTCTTCGCACAGTTCCACGAAATGTAAACTGTCGGCTGAAAGTGAGCTTAATGAACAGCAAGGAAGTGACCAGTTTATTTTCGGGTAGTTAAAATCGCCTAGAATAAAAACAGGTGTATGCGGGTGCCTTTTGACAATATCATTCAATATCATTCAAGATCTGGCTACGTGCAATCTTCCTCTGGGTCTCATAATTACCCTGATCTGGTCCTTGGGTAGGCGGGGTAGCCTGGAAGTGGATACCTCACGGTGTAGTGCTGATTGACTCTTTTTGAAGCCCCTGGGTTGCTTCGATTGGTTGTTGCGCTCTACCGTCCCAGCGGCCGGCTCCTCGTTCGGCGGAGAAATATTATTTTCTCCAAGATCACATTGCTTTGTGCTTATTCGAACAAGCAAGCTCTGTGGTTTCAGTGGAGACGCCAGTTTCGGCGCTGAGTGAAATCCTAAACATCTTTTTGGACTTTAAAGTTGCGGCGTGGTGAGCGTCCCCGCTTACCCTAACCACACCTAGGATTGGCGAGGAGTACGGCCGTTAGACGTAGCCAAAGGCTCGGCCAGACGCGGCAGCTACTGGATCATCCTCCGTACGTCGCAGCCGACAACCAGGCAATCGAACTGCTTTCCACCGTAACCGTGGAGGGAATGGAAGTTAGCGTGGAGATCTTCAAAGGACAAGGGTGAACCACCGCCATTGGACGCCGAAGACAGATGACTCCGCCGAACGAGGAGCCGGCCGCTGGGACGGTAGAGCGCAACAACCAATCGAAGCAACCCAGGGGCTTCAAAAAGAGTCAATCAGCACTACACCGTGAGGTATCCACTTCCAGGCTACCCCGCCTACCCAAGGACCAGATCAGGGTAATTATGAGACCCAGAGGAGGATTGCAAGTAGCCAGAGTAGACCTCGCTCTGCTGGCAAGAGCTGTTATCATGGCCGCCCAGATCACCGATGAGCAAGCACGGGAGAACACGATCTGCCCCAACAATATGCAAGACATCATTGTTAGTTCTACGCTGCACCAAAACAATGCTACATCATATGCGAACGTGCAGAAACTGCACAAAAACCAAGGCTCGTTCGAAGTTCCTGCATACGTGGTCACGCCCGATAATACAAGCAAGGGCGTCATGAAGAACGATGACTTTCCTTTTGACGACGCAACGCTCAAACGCCTCATCGTGCACGACTGAAATCCCACTGCCATCGTGGCAAGACGCATTAAAAAGACCAAAGTTGTCGCATTCCTCTTTGACAGGTTGCGTGTTCCGAGCACAGTTATGTGCGGAACCGCTATGGTTCCCGGCTCTCTCTACGAGCGACAAGTCGATGTTCGCAGAACGTACGGATGAGTCGGCTATCGCACCAATGTTTGCCGGCACGCAATCGCAACGAGCAAGAAATGTCACAAATGTGATGAAACGCTACAAGAAGAAGGCGTGCATCACTGCAAGCCGAAATGCAAGCTCTGCGATGGCAGTCACCCCACCGGAGATCGCGAATGCAAAAGACGCTTCCACATTCCATACACAGTGAGAAGGAGAAGAAGACGCAGAAAGCAAGAGTGGCAAGCACAACAACGTCAAGACGCACCAACATCGGTCACGTTCAAGGAACCCTGCCACAACCAGGTGCCGGGACGGGAGAACGCCTTGAGCATCCATGACCGTTCTCCATCTAGGGGAGATCCCAATCCAGAGGACTTTCTCGATCCAGAAGGCGTTTTCAGTCCAGAGGGCGTTCTCATTCCGGAGGGCGCCCCTCGACTCTGTCGGGATCCGACAACTGCCTGTCATATCGGGAGTGCTCCAGATCCTGATCGAGAACAAGACCAGCAGCCACGCAGCAGCAGCCGCAGCCGAACAATGGCTCCTGGGACAGCAGGGTTGAAGGTGCATCACGAAGCACAATTAGCCTGCCCAAAGTTAAGGCACAGCCAGAGCATGCTCCGAATTCTCGTATTCTAGCGCTTGAACAAGAAAACAGGGCCCTCAAGAAGGAGCTCGAAGAGCTCCGGGCCTCAATAGCTAGAATAGAGAGCAGCTACGGAATTCACCTGTCTTGGTAGCAAGCTGTCGCAGATAATAGGCATTGTTTACAGAAAACGTGACATGCTGCCGCTGAACGTGATGATTCTAATCTATCAGTCTTTATTTTATTCTCATCTAAACTACTGTCTCTTAGTCTGGGGTACCACGACACAAGAAAACCTAAACAAATTACACGTCCTACAAAAGAGCTTCTTACGCGTAATGGAAAACCTTCCTCGCTGGCACACAACAACCGAACTTTTTACCAAACACAAAATTGTGAGAGTAACTAAATTATATGAGTATCGTCTTTGTCATTCCTTCAAGCGTTGAATCAAGTATAGTACATTTCTACTTCGTAAGATTGCTCTGCTAGAGCCGCGAAAACATATATGCAGAACAAGAAATACAGCTATATGGCACGTTCAAACATACCGAACAACTTACGGCACGCAAACCCTGAAAAACCAGCTTCCGCGACTGCTCAATAGCTTCGCAGCTAAAAACGCACCCCTTGAAACATTGACAAATAAAGAGTTGTTATCAGTTTTTCTTTCATAATTCCTGTTATCTGTTCGCTCGCAATTTCTGTGCCTTAAAAGTGTACTTCCTTGTATTGTGTCTTTCATTTTTCTTTTTCTGTTATATTATGCACATTTGGTTGTGTTATATTATGCACATTTGGTTGTGTTATATTATGCACATTTGGTGAATCCTTGCTGTTCGCCAAGTTAGGGGTCAGCAGCTCAGTCAAGCTGTTTTTTTTTTGTTGGAGTTTTCATTGGAACTATCCTCGGATTTTGCAGCTTTTACTGCGGGCCCCTGTCATCATGTACACAATGATGATGAAATAAACGTATTATTATTATTAGCTCATCGGCACCACCGACAACACGCTTACAACAAACGATCCACAACAGACACAAACGCAAAGCCGTAGACAGCGACAGCGACACGACGGAGGAGATAGATATGGTCTCGTGCGATAAAGAAGCCCCACTGACAAATGCCGAGTGCGCGACAACTAAACTAAACGACAAAATTGATACGTAAGCGAACACGCACGCCAAGTTCACGGAAATCTTTAAGACTTACACTGACGAAGCTTACCGGAGGTTAGTGAGCCTGGAGAAGATGGTAGTCAACCCACCTGTTGTGGCTGCTCCTCAGAACCTAAGCATGGAGAAACCAACGGTTACGGCAAGCGCGCCGAGCACAACATCTAGAGCTAAAGTCCAACCAGTCAAAGCACGCAATCTCGCGGAGGTAACGAGCCCCGACGCACACAAGCTACCAAGCCAAAATGGCCGCTGACCGTAATGAGATTATGATCTGTCAGTGGAACTGTAACTCAATTCAGAAACGCAAAGCACCACTAACACAAGTATTGCTAGCCTGTAAAAAAAGTGCAAAAATCAGTGGCATACAGAGGTACAGGGTAGCCAGGCCGACCCTACATCCCGAGCGGAACAAGACGCGAGAAGTAGCTACCTTCATATGGAAGGACATAATGTTCGCTGAAAGGGACGCCCCCATATAAAAGATGCCTGGAAACGGTCCTGGTGGAAATCTTGCCATACAGGGCTGGTAAAAGAAGCATCGTTATGCTCAATGTTTACAGTCCTCCATCAGGTAAGAAAAAAGATTTCGACAGACAGCTTACCTTGGCGGTAAAAATGGCGGTTGACAATCCGCTTATAGTAGCGGGCGATTTAAACGCCAGGAGCACCGAGAGGGAATACTTAAAAAGCGAAGGCAAAGGCACCAAGTTACCAGAAAGCGCGAATGCGTTGGACCTGCAGCTGATGAACAACCTTGCCCTGCCTTCAAAAAGAGATAATTCGGTACAGCGGGACACAATGCCGGATTTGGCATTGGGCGTGGAACCGGCAGTGCAATGGCAGTGCCGTTCACGCATGTTCTGCTTCTTGTGCAGGTTGCATATAGTTCCGGGGTGCTTTCAACGGACCACGCTGTCAACTACGGCATTATCGTCGACGTCGCCGAAGGATTCACAGGCAACAGCGAGAAAATCTGCGAAGCGCTCAATGGGGAACCGTTGACGCCCACTGCAGCTGAATCCGACATGTGTCCAGCAACAGTCTACGAACCTTGGTTCACCGCTATCACCGCCCTACAAAAGACGATCGACTGCAGTGCATCTTTGGGGCGTGGAACCGGCAGTGCAATGGCAGTGCCGTTCACGCATGTTCTGCTTCTTGTGCAGGTTGCATATAGTTCCGGGGTGCTTTCAACGGACCACGCTGTCAACTACGGCATTATCGTCGACGTCGCCGAAGGATTCACAGGCAACAGCGAGAAAATCTGCGAAGCGCTCAATGGGGAACCGTTGACGCCCACTGCAGCTGAATCCGACATGTGTCCAGCAACAGTCTACGAACCTTGGTTCACCGCTATCACCGCCCTACAAAAGACGATCGACTGCAGTGCATCTTTGGGGCGTGGAACCGGCAGTGCAATGGTAGTGCCGTTCACGCATGTTCTGCTTCTTGTGCAGGTTAGTGAATGTTCCCTTTGTAGACAATTTGCTCTTGTTATCCAGCCGGTTCCACCCCATATGTTGTATAACTGTGTGCGCGTGCATTCCGATGCTGGAAACCACTCAAAGCGTCGGATTTTGCTGCTGCGTCGTTTTTGCTTTTATTTTTTGTTATTAATTCTCTGCGGGGATATCGAAACGAATCCTGGCCCTGTCGTTGATGCGACGCTACAGAAAATTTTGGATGGGCAAAACGCGATTGTTCGAAAGCTTAATACCATTGAAGCGAACCAAGCGGAACATAAGGCTGCTATAAATGACTTGAGTGAACGAGTGTCGTCAATGGAAGGAAAAATGTCAGTGCTGTCAAAATTAGAAGCCGCTATCACTGAGTGTACTGCGCGCTGTAATACCCAGCACGGGGTGATACAGTTGCTTCAAAATAAGATTGATGATCTTGAAAATCGTAGTAGACAGCATAACTTGGTATTCTACGGCATACCTGATACAAGTGTCCGCGAATCTTGGTCACAATCTGAATCGCTTGTGAAAGAAGTATGCTCGACAAAATTACAAGTTAACCCCGAAACGATAGAAAAAGCTCATCGGCTCGGGAAATTTCGAGAGGGAAAAACGCGGCCCGTGATCGCAAGGTTCGGGTCATTGAAAGAAAAGCACCTGATTTTAGGAAAGGCCAAGAATTTGAAAGATACAGGTATCGGTATGTCGGAAGACTTTTCTGAACCAGTGCGAAAGAAAAGGCGAATTTTGTGGCAGTTTGCTAGAGAAAATAGAAGCGGGGACGCACGAGTACAGCTAAAACACGATACCCTTCACATGGACGGCATCAGGTACACTTACGATGATACCTCAGGCAAGGTTGTGCAGTGCAAGTGACCGACTAAGTTCTTATGCTCTTCACTTTCTTTTTTGTTAGTAAACTGTAGGAGCATTAAAATAAAGTTGACATATTCGATGACTTAGTGCGCATGACCAAACCAAGTGTAGTTATCGGTACTGAATCATGGCTGAATGAAGACGTGGCAAACACCGAGGTATTTCCAGATACTTTACTTGTTACAGGAAAGACAGGAACTATCATGGAGGTGGTGTATTTATCTTGGTAGATCAGCGCATTCCGTCTATAGGCATAAGCACTACAGACGATACGAGTGAAGCTGTTTGGTGTCAACTTAAGCTCTCGAATGGCAAATCACTATCAGTCTGCTCTTTTCATCGACCGCCAACTGGTTCAACTAAGGAATTTAGTGAATTCACTGCTACAGCTACAAAAATCGCCTCTGATTACGTCGTTGTAGGTGGGGATTTTAACCTGCCTGATCTCGACTGGAATGAGCAACCAATAGCTTCTGGAAGTTCTCTTAGTTTTAAATCTGAAATGGCTGATTTCATGAACCTCTTGTCTTTAACACAGACAGTGTTGAAACCAACTCGAGGAGGTCATATCCTTGATCTATTTTTCACAAATATGCCAGAAATGGTAGAAAACACTGAAGTATTACCAGGGATAAGTGACCACGAGGTTGTGCTAAGTGAGATAAATATGAAACATACGAGTGCTTACAGTGAAAGGAGTCGGTGCATGTACAATTACGCGAAGGCTAATGTCCAAGGAATCAACACTGCATTGGAGGCATATTTCATTGTTGTCGAAACACTTGCCGATGATTATTCAGTAGAAGAGCTGTGGAATTTGTTTAAAGACAAGATTCTAGAGCTGAGAAACCGATTTGTTCCGACATGGGTGCTAACTAGAAGGCGTAATAAAAGTAAACCATGGTTTTGTAGAGAACTCGACGTTTTGGTCAAGCGTAGGCAGAGAATTTACCGTTCATTTAAAAGAAATCCCTCGGAAGAGAACTCTTGCAAACTGAAGCTGGCAACGCGTGAAGTAAATAATGCTACAGTCGAAATGAAAGTAGCCTACTTTAAAAACAATTGAACGTAAAATAACGCAAAACCCGAAAGAACTTTGGAGGTATATCAAACGAAACAAGAAAGACAACATTTCAATTCCCGCTTTGACCAGCGGTGATATTACCGTGAGCGATACGACAGAAAAGGCTAAGTTGTTCAATTTATATTTTACGTCAGTGTTCTCAGCCGCTACTGACCCCCAAAAAGACTTGAAATTGTTGGTACACGAATCCACATCCATGCCTGATGTAGTACTTGACGCTCGTGGCATTGAATTACTACTTAGAGATCTAGATTGTGCGAAAGCAGTGGGTCCTGATTGCTTGCCTAATTTTATGTTGAAGTCTTCTTCCCATGCAGTGTCTATGTACTTGAAAGTTATTTTTGAAAAATCGTTAAAACAGAGTTCTCTCCCAACTGATTGGAAAATGGCGTCTGTTGCTCCTATACATAAATCTGGCCCGCGCAATGCTGTGAATAATTACCGCCCTATCTCACTCACTTCTGTGTGCAGTAAAATTCTTGAACATATTTTATATACTGCGATTGTAAAGCACATAGATAGTAATTCCCTATTCAACTCTAACCAGCATGGATTTAGGCAGGGGCTATCATGCGTCACACAACTGGTAGAGTTCACCCATGTTTTAGCAGCAGCACTGGACGACAAATTTTCGGTCGACTGTATTTTCCTCGACTTTCAAAAGCGTTCGACACTGTATCACACTTCTTATTGCTGAAAAAACTAACCAGCTTTAATATTAATCACCAAGTTATTGCATGGATTGCTGAATATCTACATGAGAGGCGACAATATGTAGTTGTAAACGGCGAACAGTCTGAAATAACTAGTGTTACGTCAGGGGTACCTCAGGGATCAGTTCTGGGACCATTACTTTTCTTATATATATAAATGACATTAACGAAAACGTACAATCCCATATTAGGCTATTTGCAGACGACTGCATTTTATATCGTCAGATTACCTCTGAAACTGACTGTTCCGTAATCCAAAACGACCTATGTGCAATATACGCGTGGTGCCAGCGATGGGAAATGAAACTGAACCTTAAGAAAACTGTATGCATGAGGTTTTCCAGAAAAAGAAACCCAGGTGAATTTGAATACACAATAAACAGCTCTCCGGTAAAAATGGTGCGCGAATACAAATACCTAGGTGTTTTCTTTTGCCCCTCTCTATCATGGAATCGGCATGTGGATTACACTGTAAATAAAGCTTGTCGGAGCTTAGGATTCTTAAAAAGAAACACACGTGCTTTTCCACAGCAAACCCGAGAGGTACTATACAAAACATACGTGAGATCAGTACTGGAGTACGCATGTTGTGTGTGGGACCCTGCAACATCATCAAATAAAGAAAGATTAGAAAAAGTTCAGTCTATGGCGGCGAGATATGTGTTTAATGCACCTATGTACGACAGACAATTCAGTGCGACGGAAGCTAAGCTGAAGTTAAAATGGAAGTCTCTGCAGCACCGAAGGGCATCGTTTCGACTGAAGCTATTGCACAGCACATTTTATTCTCATACTCGAATTCCCTGTGACGTATACATAAGCCGGCCTCACTACATTTCAGCCCGCAAAGATCATGAACACAAGATAAGAGAATATAAATGTAATACATCGTCCTTCAGCAACTCTTTTTTTTCGAGAACTATCAGTCAGTGGAATCGACTTCCTCCCACAATTGTAGAAATTTCTTCAACGGATGCGTTCTTTTCTGCAATAAAAATGATTGAATCTTTGGACCGCTAAGCCCTGTAGACTACGTGTGTGCGCCTGGCAGTCGCCATGATCTGTACGGTATCTTGGTTGTAAGCTATGTTGTTTTGTTTTGGTGTTAATTTGCCCTTGTGCTAGACGAATGCTGCACTTTGTTTGAATTATCATGAGATTTTCATCAATTTTTTTTTGTGATTTTTTCTCTAATACATATGACTTTTCTGACACATCTGTGCTCGGTGCAACTGTGTATGTTTTTGTATTTTGGAAATCTACTTCTTTTTCTCTTTTTTACTTATGTGAATGCAATTATGTGAACTTATGTGAACCTGCAATTTTCATGTTCTTTTCTGTACCCCCCCCCCACTATAAAGCCTGTATGGGCGCTGTGGGTACTAATTAAATAAATAATAAATAACTAACTTTCATCAAGAACGTCAGACCTACCTGGCATAACCTAGCCGAAGACCTAGATAGCGACCACTGCATCCTAGAAATTGCCGTTGAGAACGAGGCGAAAGCGCCAAGAAAATTCAAAAATCACAGACTGGGACCAGTTCCATAAAATGCGGGGGCAGAAGGGCAATACAGAACTATTATATGAAGCCCTCTTAAATGAAATAAAAATGGCAGTGAATGAGGCCACCAATAAAGTCGAGTCTTATGAATCCATCCAGGCCATAGGCTCTCAACTGACCAGTTTGCTGCAGAAAAAGCATGACCTAAAAGAAGCGTGGCGAAAAAACGAGCTCAACAGGCTCTTACGCATAAAAATAGCGGACCTTGGCTGCGAACTCGGATCTCCTGCCAAAACGCTCTGCGCCCAGCAGTGGAACAATACATGTGACAAAGCAGATGGCAAAATGTGGACAGGAAGCAAATGAGGGCTGCTCAAACACCTAATGGCGGACAGTGACAAACCCACCAGAGGTGGCATTTAGTTTCAAATTGAACGATTGGTGCACAAGCACGCCCAGAATAGTGGTGGATCTCAAGTTCTCCTGAAAACACTAGGCCAAAAATATCTCCCACCGGAAAGCAAAGCAGTAGCCTGGGAAATCAAAGATCCCTCATATGGAGGTCGACCGCAAGAAAAGCTAGACGAACTATTCAGTGAAGACGTACGCTCTCCAGCAACTCAATGGCAGGTCGGCACCAGGGCCAGACGGCGGCATCGACAATAAACTGCTACGGAATTTAGACAATAAAGCAATTGTAAGCATTACTAAGAAATTAAATGAGGCATGGAAAACGGGTACCGTGCCACAAGAATGGCGTAGTGCCAACGTTTCGCGCATTCCGAAACCTGGAAAACCGCTGAGCATGCAATATTCAACCGTGTCACGGACAACATTGAAAGCAATGCTCTTTTGACACAACATTATTGGCTTCCTCAGGGCACTGTACACACAGGACGCGCCATGTTGATGTTAAGGGAACACATATTTTAAGGGCTCTTCCACACGCCCAAAGCCATATTAGCCCAGGACGTCACCAAGGCCTATGACACCGTAAAACATGAACACATACTGAGTGAAATATCGCACATGAACCTAGGCGAGAAATTCAACAACTACTTCAAATCCTTTCTGACAAACCGAACTGCTACCATATGCATAGGAGAGCAATGAGGCGAACCCGAACGACTCGGAAATATCGGCACCCCACAAGGGTCAGTGCTCTCGCCATTGATCTTTACTGTGGCGATGCACAGGTTGTAAAAGAAGCTCGCCCCACCGCGGTGGTCAGAGTGGCTAAGGTACTCTCGGTTGCTGACCCACAGGTCACGGGTTCAAATCCCAGCTGCGGCGGCTGCATTTCCGATGGAGGCGGGAATGGTGTAGATCCGTGTGCTGAGATTTGGGTTTAAGAACCCCAGGTGGTCGAAACTTCCGAAGCCCTTCTCGACGGCGTCTCTCATAATCATATGGTGGTTTTGGGACGTTAAACCCCACATATTATCAATCGATTTGTTTGAGAAGCTCGCTCAAATCCCTTCCGTGCACCATGACATATACGCGGATGATATTATCATATGGGTCCCATGTGGCCCCTCATATGGTGCCTTGGAAGGAATCCTTCAACAAGCACTGACTACAATCGAAGAATTTCTTAGGCAAACTGGACTGGCACTCTCCACCACTAAGTCTATTTTAACACCCTTTCACCCTCGACGAAATTTGGACGAAGAGGAGCAGCAAGTATTGATCAAAGCTGAGAACAGCCAAACGATACCGCAAGTACATACGGTTAAGATACTAGGGCTAACGTTAAGTGCCAAGGAGGGCCACAACAAGGAAGCATTCAAGTGCCTTAAAAAAAGCACAAACAATTTTGCAAGAGGCAATGCTAGAATCGCCAACAAGAGAGCAGGCCTCCTAGAAGACAACATCATGAAGGCGTATCACGCCTTCTTCGTAAGTCACGTAGCATACGCGTTCCTGTTTCTGAAACTTACGAAGACTGAAACCAAAAAGGTCGGCTCCATGCTCCACAAAGAACTGAAAACGACACTCGGGTTGCCCAACACCACGAGCAACGAGAAACTCAAGCAAATCGGTCTGGACAACACAGCCGAAAAAATTTTTGAGGCTCAGAGAGTGGCACAGATCACACGCCTCTCGTTGACGCAGGTAGGCCATCTCAACCTACGAAACGCAGGCATTTGACCAATTTTCAACCCGAGAAAAGAACACAACTTGGTGACGTGAGGAAACACGTTAGAGTTGATCCAATCCCCCGCAACGTTCATCGAACGTTCAAAAATGGCGAAGGAAGGACAGAGCCAGGGCGCTCATAAACAAGGCAAAAAAACACAATACGCACGCGCTATTCGTAGAGTCCACCCGCTACTACGGCAGGGAGGCGTTTGCCATAGCGGTCGCTGATATAGACGGAAACCTCATAAACGCGGCAACCGTCCAAACAAGGCATGTCTACGAAGCAGAGAAAATGGCGATCGCGCAAGCCTTTGCAGAGCTGCCAAGCCTACTTCACTATATACACAGACTCTAAGATGGCGACCCAAACGTTCGCGGCTGGCCTAGTTGATAGAAGCACTGGAAAACTCACCGTTAACGTATTAAAAGAGTACGAGAGCAAAGAAACCCTTGTTAAAAAGAGAAAACTCAAATCTTCGTATCCTGGTTCCCAGTTCACATGAGACTGTTACCGGGACTCGACCCCTGCAATCATAACGAAGAGGTCAACCACCTGGCGCGTGAGCTCACATGCCACGCCACGGACATGGCCCCTCGACGAGTGAGCGGTACGAGAATCTCTGCAGCAAGGACAAAGCATTCACATACCACGAGATCACTTCACATTACCAGGGACAAAGACATGTCTTCCCAGCACCGCACACATAACTTACCAAAGCACAAGCTTTACCTCTAAGAAGATTGCAAACACGTACGTACATAACACCATCCATATCACACAGAGTCGACCCCAACACACCACCCACATGCACTCTTTGCAACCATCCCTATTGCAATGTCGAACACATGCTTTGGCTGTTCCCTACACACAGCGCAGAACAACTGAATAACCAAGAGGCTTGGCAAGAAGCCCTCAAGAGCAACGAATACAAGCTGCAACTACAGGCAGTCCAGAGGGCCCGGGACATCGCTACAAGCCTTCGGCTGCCAGCGCCATTCTGGGCAGAGCCCTCACGTTGAATTAAAGGTCGGAATGGCCGTTTCTCAGCCTCCTCAGGATATGTTTAAATAAAGTCAATCTCTTTCTCCCTCTCACGTCGCAGCGATTTTTCACTTTCGCCTTGTTGTTCTTTGTTTCATGAATAATGATGTTGCAGCACTGACTGCGATCCCCAAAATCCGCCAGCTTAGTGTTTTGTTGATCAATGACTTGTTTTAAACTTTGAACTTCAGCCTGAATTGATTCAATTTGTGCAGTTTTTTCGTAGATCTTTAACAACCATTCAATAAGTTCTGCCCATTTATCACTTAGACTTGACACAGTTTTTTTCTGTTGTTGAAAGACGTTCGCGAACGTCGGCTAGTTCAGATAAGATTGTGGCTTGGCCAGATTTAAGTGACGCGAACATTTCCTCGACAGCTGTACCCGAATTAAGTTCAACGTCACCACAAACAAGCAGTTTACAGACGCTATCAACAAGCATGTCCGCGGGCTTGGCACAAATAACAAAACCAATAACTTTTAAATGATGAGTAACTGACCTGTGTTGTGAACAAGAAACGTTTGGTAAGTGATACGATGCCTCAAGCTTCGCCTTGCCCACTGGTGAAGAAGCATTGGCGCAAGTCTTTTAAAGCCGGATTGAGTGGCGTCGGCCATGCGCCTGCTCACGTGATGACTCCACTTGCACAGTGAAACTAAGGAGAAGCTACCACTCAGATGATGACGAAATACATGGCCAGAGGACGGAATCAGATTTGACGTGATCCTTGTCAGCTTAGACACTTGCTTACGGGGCATGATTCAACGGCGGCGGCAGCCAGCAAAACCTAAATTGTGAACAGGAAACGTTTGGTAAGTGACATGATGCCTCTGGTATCACGGTGCCCAGCAGCGAGGAAGCAAGACCTCGACGGGCACATCACCCTGAGACTTACCTAGTGCAACGTGACAATAAATTAATTATAGAATTTCTCAATTGGCCACATTCTATCACGCCCCCTGACTAATTTTGTGATTATTGTTGTTGAAATTCATGTAACAAAATCCTAATTCTTTCATTGTTGTAAATTATTTTATTGTTTTGTTGTTACTTCTAATGTATGTTTTGTATTAAGGTTTTTCTGCACTTTAAAACCCCACCTCTGCAATCGCCCTTTTACAGGGCTGCAATATCTAAAATAGATAAGTAATATAAAGGTGAATAAATGAGTAAATAAATAAAATTTTAAAACTCGTCCTCCCTGCGTCTAGGGAGCCTAATCGACTGCATAAAACTCTAATAAAGTTGTTCTGCCTCTCTTACTCTCGCATCTCGGTAGCTACCTATGTGAACCGCTATTAAATGTTCTAGGCAAGAAAATTATGCTAGCTTTATTGAGTAAAAATGGAGATCTTCAAGCTGCGGGCCAGTAGTCGCCCGTGACTTCTTACTCGTCTGTCACGGTGCTTGAATGCCTTCCTGTCAATAGAGTTAATTTCTCTCTGAATGTAGGTTTCCAGCCTCGCGTACAATGTTCCGGATTCTTTGCAGGTGACACGGGTTATTATACATCGCGCGGTGAGCTTTACGTGCTGGACCGAATCAAGGACATTATCAGATGCATGGACCAACAGGTGGCCCCTGCGGAGCTTGAAGAACTGCTGCAGGAGCACCCGGACGTGATACAAGCTGCCGTAGCTGGTGTACCGCACCCTGAGTACCTAGAAGCGCCTAGGGCATTTATTGTGCTCGAACGGCGCCCGGGAAGGGAAGAAGAAAAAGATGCCCACAAGGAAGCCCTGCTCAATTACATCAAAGGTGGGCCACCACATAAGCGTCCTGGTCGTCTGGCTTAGTCGAATTGTCTTCACTTCATGTGGCAGGCTTACGGTAACTATTCAGTAGACCTGTTTCCTGTGGCATTTTTAGCTCGGCCGACGCTACAAGCGAGCTGAAGAATGTTTTTTATTTACAAATACTGTTAGCCGTTATGGCCGTAACAGGGTGGGTACAGTAAACATAAAACGAAAACAAATACAATATATGGTATATAAGACAGAATTTTCTAAATAAAAAAGGAAAAATATTTAAACGCTGTTAATAAAAACGTACATACATATATTGTCATGGTGGTATAGTATGCAATATGGAGTAACTGCGCGATGTATTCTCGGATACCATGGCATTATATGTACAATACTATAGCAAAACTGAATGTTCACGACATATTTTTAATGCACTGTTTAAAGCTCCCTATGTTCTTCGAATTCAGTACCGGCACTGGCAACTGATTCCACTCTTTTATTGTTCATGGAAAAAAGGAATATGCATACACATGAGATTGCATTTAGGAACCGAATACACAAATTGATTGCATGATCTGACATTGCTGGAAGGCCTGGGAAGAAGATAGGGTTTAGTTTCAATATAAAGGTGTCCTTTTGATAACGACAAAAAAAAGAAATTTAGGTCAACCGACTTTCCGGCGATAAGCCAGCGTAGTTAATTCAAGCAACTGAAGCATTTCAGAAACGGAGTCACTTCGTAAATAACGCGATATCATTAGCCCTGTGGCTTTTCTCTGTATTTCTTCAATTCGATTTATTAACCCCGAGTGGAAGGGGTCCCACACTGCACTGGCATATTCTAGCATTGGCCTTACGAAGGTCAAATATGCAAGCAGCTTAACCGATGGTGTTGCTAGCTTTAGTTTGCGACGGAAGCACCATACCTTTTTTTTACTACCGCTGCACAAATGCTGTTCACGTGTGGTTTCCAACTGAACTCATTTGAAATAATTAAGCCTAGGCATTTCATTGATTCAGCTTCGTTTAGAGTTGTGTAATTCATCTCATATTGATATTTATTTGCATGTTTTTTGTGTTCGTAACTCTGAGCATAACTGATTTGGATTCATTGATTCTCATTTGCCAATTAGTCGCCCATCTTTCTACTGCTCTAAGAGCTTGCTTAAGTGACGCCTGATCATTCTGGTCATTGATTTCACGGTATATTAGGCAATAATCTGCGAACAACCTGACGGTTATGTCGTCATTTACCTCATTAGCAATATCATTTATGTAAATAACAAAAAGCAGGGGTTCCAAAACGGATCCTTGTGGTACGCCGGAAGTTATGTTTAGCAGATCCGATTTGTTAGCATTTATATCGACGTATTGTGTCTGAACTGTGAAGTATGAGCGGATCCACGCTCATACTTCAACGCTTCATAATTGATATTCATTTCCCTTAGCTCATTTATTAATTTGGTGTGCACAACCCGGTCAAAAGGCTTGGATAGATCCAAACATATAGCGTCTATCTGCTTTCTGTTCTTTAGAGCAGTCGAAAAGTCTATAATTGTTTCTACCAATTGTGTAACAGTTGATAGGTTCTGTTAAAAGCCGTGCTGATTAGAAAAAAACCACCCTCTTGTTTTCAAGATAACCATAGATTGATTTTTGATAATATGTGCTCCAGAAGCTTGCAGCACACGCACGTCAATGAAAAGGGCCGGTAGTTTCCTATGTCTTGCTTGCCACCTCATTTCTGTACTGGAACAACTTTTGCAACTAGCCAATCATGTGGGATTCCTTTTTGTAATAGCGATGCCTTAAATATAATATCAAGATAGCAGCCTACCCATTCTGAATACCTGCGTAAAAACGCATTTGGTATACCATCAGGACCTATGGATTTCTTATTTTTATTATTAAGCAAACGTGCTACAATACCTTCATATGACACCTTTATCTCAGTTATTGTTGAAATGTATGGGGATTGTGGCGCAAAGTGTGAAAAATCATTTGCAGGACTATCAGTAAACACAGATTGGAAAAAGTCATTAAAACAAGTTTCAATACGAGAGAATTTCATCACGTCATGTGACGTCATCCTGCTGCATTCATTGGCCACCTGCTCCAGATGCAAACGCAAAGACACGCGCTATCTTGGTTTTCTTTATCCGGTTATCACGGGAGTCATGTGATCATTCTGACTGTATATATTTCACGACGAAACATTAAAGAGAGCTTTTTTCTTGATCACGATGTAACGAGCGTCAGTCGATCACTCTGACGAGCTTGACATGGTGTTAGAAGTGGTTCCGATGTAGCCAACTAGCGCTTCAACGGCCCCGTCAACGAGCGAGCGACTGGCAGCTGCGTCTACAAGAACAAGCCGTATCGGCGACAGCGCTTCAGAATCGCGTGGATCAAGCCTCCTAAGCCCTTCGACTTCAAGAACGCAGCGGACTGGCCCGCCTGGATGGTCGAATTTGAAGACTACAGATTCGTGTCTGGGTTACATTAGAAAAAGACGAAGTTCAAGGAAGGACTCTTTTCTATACTATGGGCAGAAATTCGAGGAAGATTCTTCGGTCGCTAAACGTAAAAGACGAAGAAAAGGAGGACTTCAAGCTCGTAATGTCTAAACTTAACGTCTACTTTGTCCACACCAAGAACATAGTCGACGAAAGTGCTTGCTTTAATCTACGCCACCAACAACTGGGAGAAACAGCAGACCAGTTCGCAAACGAGCTTAGCAAGTTAGCTGACAGATTCTAGTTCGCATGCATGAAGGAACGCCTAATAACAGACCGCTTCGTAGTAGGGCTACGGGACCAGATTCTTTCGGAAGAACTGCAGATGGACCCCAACCTAACGATGGCCACTGCTTTGGCAAGAGCGCGTACGAGCGAAACCGTAAAGCAAGAGCAAGCAGAACTAATAGAGCATGAGGGCACAGTCCCAGAAGCTTGCGTCGCCGCAGTAAAGCCCAAGAAAGCCGCTGCAAAGAGCACGTTTACTCACTTTCAGAAGCCCGCTTATCATCAAAAAAACTGCAGTTATTGTGCCGGACCATTTCATCCACGAAAAAAGTGTCCAGCGCAAAAAGAAACGTGCAGATTTTGCCAGAAGTTGGGCAATTATGAAAAGGCATGCCGAAAAAAGAAGCAAAAAGACACAAATATCAATAGCATCGCCGAAGCTGATGGCAAGATTATAGGCACGGTCGAGCAGTGTGCGAACACACAATCTGAGCTATTCGTGACGGTAAAGATAAACAACCAGACGCTCCGCATGAAAGTAGATACGGGAGCCGAAGTGACAGTACGGTGAAAATTGTCCTTTTCTTCCGCCTTCTCTGGAAAACGCAGCCGATCCTAAAGAACCTAGCAATACTAGCATTCGTACGATCAGAAAGTTTGACGCTGAAATAGCTTGGAAAGAAAGCTGTTCACAACAAACCATTTACGTCGTGCAGAACTTGCGCACGCCCTTGTTGGGACTACCAGCTCTGGGAATTGTTCGCTTCCTAGATGAATGAGACGCTGCTGACAATATCGGAAGCAAATATCTCAAGATATTCCAAGGCACGAGTACCATATCGGGAGAACACATCATACGCCTTGTGCCACGTGCATTCCCGTACAGTCTGTCTACAACGCGACGGGTTCCTATTTCCATGAAAGAAAAAGTCAAAGAAGAACTGGACAGGCTAGAACGAGAAGGAATGATACAGAAGGTCGAAGAACCGACAAAATGGTGCGCGCCTATCGTTCCTGTAATGAAGCCGTCGGGAGCAGTAAGGATCTGCGTTGACTTAACTCAATTGAACCAGTTCGTCAGACGAGAGCGTCATCAACTGCTGACGATTGAGCAAGTTATGAGAAGCTTCCAGGAAGCCAAAGCCTTCTCTAAACTAGACACGCCTTCTGGTTTCTACCAGATGGGGCTTTCCGAGGAATGTCAAAAGCTCACGACGTTCATTACGCAGTACGGGCGGTACTGCTACCACAGGTTGCCGTTCGGGATTACATCCGCACCTGAAATTTTTCGAAGAAAGTTCTCGCAAGTCCTATAAGGCCTATATGGCGTACTGGACTACATGGATGACATTCTGGTGTACGGCAACAACAAAGTGGAACATGACAAGCGGCTTTGTAACGTCCTCGAACGACTTCAACAAGCAGGCGTAACTCTCAACAGGGAAAAGTGTTGTTTCTTAGTTAAACAGGTCGCCTTATTGGGGGTGATCTTCAATGCCAACGGCGTGCGTACAGACCCCGAGAAAGTTAGAGCAATCAAGTGATTGCCCAGACCCAAAACGTTGCTGAGGTTTGATCCTTGTTAGGTATGATGAACCATCTCGCAAGGTTTTTACCTGATGCAGCTTCAATGTCTGCTCCTTTACGCAGCCTCTTCAACAAGGACAGCGACTGGTTTTGGAGACCTCAACAAGAGACGGCTTTTGAGAATATCAAGACCACTCTCAGCTCAGACCTGGCGAGGTACAAGCCCCGCTATTCGACAATTGTATCGGCGGACACGTCTTCTCTAGAGGTTGGCGCAGTACTCCTCCAGGATCAGCCATCTGGTGAGAGTCGTCCTGTTGCATATGCCTCCAGATCGCTCACAAAAGCAGAGAAGAGGTATTCACAGATCGAAAAAGAAGCATTACCTTTAACTTAGACTGCGGAACGCTTCGACGAATTCCTAAGATACCTCACGTTCCTATTTAAGACGGATCACAAGCCTCTCCTCCCGCTAATTGGTCGAGATCCTCTTGATTTTCTACCGCCAAGAATTCAAAGGTTAAGAATGCGTCTTATGCGGTACTCGTTCATGCTAACACACATCCCGGGGAAAAGCATTGCTATGGCGGACACACTTTCTCGCGCGAGAGTGATGAACACTGCGCTTTCGGTCGGAGAGTTGTCTGAAGCAGACGTTTCGGCTCACGTGGAGGGAGTCGTTCAGTATGCGTTCTCTGACGACATGCTCGAACGCATACGCTCAGAGCAAGAACGACTCCGA